AGAGAAAGGGAAGTGAGAAAGCAAGCCTCCAGGTCTCGGAGTTGGACTGCTGTCAGCCATGTGAAGAGTCCAGCGTCTTAACCACCATGCCACTTGCTGGACCCCCAAGCGAAGTTTTTTAAGAGCATTTTGGGGGCTGGCAGGTGACATGGTGGGTCCTGGACATGGCAGCTTGAAAGAGACTGTGGCACATACGCACGCACGGCCATAATCTCAAGAGGAAAATGGAGGAGAAGGGATTGTGGCCAACCCCTTGGAGGGTACTCACTTGCTCATTCTGGCAAGCACACATTCCCTTAGCAAAATTTAAAAACAAACAAACATTTTTTAAAGAATTATTTATTCTATTCAACTTTATTTTTTATTTTGATGGGAGGGAGAGAGAGCAAGCCCCCAGGTCCTGGACTTGAACCGTAGTCGGCCATGTGGAGTCCAGCATCAACCACCACACCACCTGCCAGCCTCCCCTGCAAACATTTTTAGAAGTCATCATCACTCACATCAGATTTTGCGGGAAGGCTTTAGCACTACTCTTCATTCTTTGCTTTTCCTTCTGGCTGCTTGGTCAGCAGGTACAGCGTGAGCCATATCTGCGTGCTTTCCAGCTTCGTGGTGCTGGATCTTTTTCCTGTTGGAAGGTCCAGCGTTATCAGCGGCAGTGATCTTAATTCTTCTTTACTTGTGTTTACTTCTTAAAAAACAGTTCTGGTCTCTCTCTGTGGCCTGGTGACTAAGGCAGCTGGAACCCACGTGGCCAAGACCACAGTTTGAGCCCTGGACCCGGCAGCTTAAAAAACACACTGGGGGGGGTGGTGGGAACCAGCAGTTAGCGTAATGGCTATGTCGCTGGACTCCCACGTAGTCGACTGCGGTTTGAGTCCTGGACCCCGTGGCTTAAACTCACACTGGGCGCGTGTGCATGCGTGCCCAAGATCCCGAGAGGAGAAGGGAGGAGAAGGGATTGCGGTGTGGCCATCCCCCTTGGGGGGTGATTTCTCACTTTCTATCTCTCTGTCTCTCTCTCTGTCTGGCGAGTGCACACGCCCTATAGCAAAACAAACAAACAAAAACCTCTGAAAAAAAAAAAAAAACCACACTGGGTACCTATGCGTGTATGTGTCCATATTCCACAGCCCTCTGGGTGCACATGGGCATGCGTGGTGCGTCCTGGGCCAAACCCGAGCCTCCCATGTGACTCCGTCATCATGCACCCGCACGCTTCCTTCTGCGCCATCATAGCTGGGCCCGACTCACTCATTTAAAGTGTACAGTCTATACAGCTATGCTGTCTTTTCCACAATGTTCGGACATTTTTATCACTCTCAAAAAGGGATAGCTCTGTCCCTTAGCTGTCACCCGTTCCTTCCTGTCTCCCAGCCCTAGGCAGCCACTCATCTGCTTTCTGTTTCTATAGCTTTGCCTGTTCTGGACAGTTCGTGTAAAGGGAGCCGTGCAATACGTGGCCTTCTGTGACTGGATTCTTTCAGTGAGAATAACTTTTCGGGATTCATCCATGCTGAAGCTTGTGTCAGCACTCCAGTCCTTTTAAAGACTGAGTAATTTTCTGGTATGTGTATGTGCCACTCAATAACGGGTGGACATTTGGGTGGTTTCTACTTTCTGGCTACTATGAATAATGCTGCTGTAGTTATTTATGTCCAAGACTGTGTGCAGACATTCGTTTTTTGTTTTCAAGAGAGATTTTTGCTGTAGGGTGCGTGCACTCATGAGAGGGCAGAAAGCGAGAAATCACCCCCTGGGGGATGGCCACACAGCAGTCCTTTCTCCTCTTGGGATCTTGGGCATGCACACGTGCCTGGTGTGAGTTTAAGTCGCTGGGTCCGGGACTCGAACCGCAGGCGACTACATGGGAGTCTAGTGAAGTATCCATTACACCATTTGCTGGTCCCCAGACATTTGTTTTTAGTTCTCTGGAATACCTACTTAGTTTCTCTTGTGATTATGAAATACTGTATGACTTCAAGTTTTACAACTCGTGAAACTTCTTTCGTGGCCTGATGTATAGTCCGTCCTGAAGAACAGTCTGCGTGTAGCTAAGAGGACAGTGTATTCTGCTCTCGTATAGGTCTGCTAGGTCCACTTGGTCTATGTGTTGTCCAAGTCTTCTATTTTCTTTCTTTCTTTTTTGTTATTTGCTGGAGGGCACAAGTGCGTGCTAGAGACAGACAGAGAGGGAGAGGGAGAAAGCACCAGCCACTGTCTCTTCCACTTCTCCATCCTGTTGGGATTTGGGTTCGCGCACACACGTACCCAGCATGTTTCTCAAGCTGCTGGGTCTGGAACTTGAACCGTGTGATCGGCCAGGCCATGGGGAATCCAGCTGCCGTAACCACTAGGCCGTGGGCTGCCCCGTTTTCTTTTGATCTTCTGTTTAGTGGTTTCCTTATTGAAAGTAGGGTACTGCTACAAGCCTCCAACTGTCATGTTTATCTTTATTTTTTTTAGAGAAAGAGATTTTTTTTTTTTGAGAGGTTTTCTCTATAGGGCGCGTGCGCTTGCCAGCCAGACAGAGACAGAGAGACAGAAAGCGAGAAATCACCCCCCGGGGGGATGGTCACACCGCAATCCCTTCTCCTCCATTCTCCTCTCAGGATCTTGGGCACGCACGCACACACGCCCGGCGTGAGTTTTAAGCCACCGGGTCCGGGACGCGAACCACAGTCAACTACGTGGGAGTCCAGCGACATAGCCATTATGCTAACTGCTGATTCCCGACTTAAGGTCTATTTTGTCTGATGTCGGTGTAACTAACCCAGCTCTCTTCTGGTTTCTATTCGCATGGAATACTTTTTCCCCATCCTTTCATTTACAACCTTTGGATCCAAAATGTGTCTCTTACAGACATCATAGAATTGGATCATTTTTCAAATCCATTTTATCAGTCTCTCCCTGCCTTTTAATTGGAGAATTTAATCCATTTACATTTAAACTAGTTACTGGTAAAGAAGGACTTCTGCCATTTTGCTGTTTGTTTTCTGCATATCTTATTGTTTCCTGTTAACTGCCTTCTTTTGTGTTTACTTAATTTTACTTTTTTGGTAGTGTAACATTTTGCTTGCCTCCTTATTCCCTTTTCTGTAAGATTTAAAGTTATTTTACTAGTGTTTACCCTAGAGTTTATCATTTAGATCTTAAATTTATAACAGACTGGTTTGAATTAATAGCAGTTTAGCTTCAATAGTACGTAAAAACCTGGCCCTTTTACAACCACACCCCTCCTCCTCTATGTTTTACCATCACAAATGGCATCTTAATACTTTATGCCTCCATTAACATAGATGTATGATTCGGAACCATAATGGCTGTGTTGCTGGACTCCCGCAGAGTCGACCAAGGTTCGGGTGCTGGACCCGGTGGCTTAAACTCACGCCGGGCGCGTGTGCGTGCGTGCCCAAGATCCCAAGAGGAGAATGGAGGAGAAGGGATTGCGGAGTGACCATCCCCCCTTGGGGGTGATTTCTCACTTTCTGTCTCTCTGTCTCTCTGTCTCTCTGGCCAGCGCATGAGCCCTATAGCAAAAACCTCTCCAAAAAAAAAAAAATAGATGTATAATTATTGTTTTATGCATTTGTCTTTTAAATCATGAAGGAAAAAAGAGAAATGACAAACCAAAATACAATAATTCTTACATAATTATTTACCATAATTATCACATAGTTTACAATCTAGTTTGGATCAACACCAACTTAATTTTTTTTTTTTTGGTAGAGGTTTTGCATTAGTGGACATGCGCTCGCCTGAGAGACAGAGAGACAGAGACAGTGAGAGGAAAAGTGAAACATCATCCCTTGGGGGATGACCACACTGCAGTTCTTTCTTCTCCATTCTCCTCCTGGGACCTTGGGCATGCACACACAGAGTGAGTTTCAAGTTGCTGCACGTGGGACCCAAATCGTGGTCGACCATGTGGGAGTCCAGTGACATGACCACGATGCCATCTGCTGGTCCCAACACCAACTCAATGTTAGTAGTTTAATAGTAAGGCCAGCTTCATCGTGCAGAGGTAACGTGCTGCTCAAGTGAAGCTGGAGCCACATGGGTCATGGGTTCAGTTCCCTGTCATCCTGTGCATATTGGGCTTGTGTGCGCCGTGGTCCTCGCTAGCTGGCACGGCTGGAAGAGCAGTCATGGGGTCATTCCTGTTGAAGGTACCTCTCTCTCTGTCTCTGTCTCACTCTCTTGAAAGAAATACACTAAAAAAAAATCGTACACAGCTTCGGCCCTGTGTAGCTCTGCTCCCACCTCCCGTTCTTGGTGCCGTTGTTGTGATGTAAACGGTATCTTTATACGCGGCACGTCCATCGAACAGGTTCAAAATTGTCATCTTATGCAGTTGTTTTTTAAATCAGATAGGAAAAAAGTAACAATGAAAAACATACATTTACACTGTCATATCTATTTTCGTAGTTGTCTTTATTTGTACTTTCTTTTTTTAATGTGAGATTCATGTTATCCTCCAATATTTTCCATTTCATATTTTTGGTAAGACAGGTCTGTTAGCAGCGAAGTTTCTGGGGTTTTTTTTGTTGTTGTTCTGAGAATGTCTTAATTTATGTTTGTTTGGAGGATACTTTTGTTGGCTGACGGTGTTTCTTTCGGCCCGGGGGACAGTCCCGTGCTGCACAGCCACGCGTGGGTTAATGACAGACCACACAGAGGACCCTTTGGCTCAGTGACATCATGGCCCCTTGACGTCGCCATAGAGCTCGTGGCTCCTGCCTGTGCCGATGTGGGCAGAAGCAGGCCTGTGGTCGCCAGCCTTACGAACGTACAACACGTGGCATTAAAGGCAGACTGTAAGAGGGCCAGCAGGGGGTGTGGAGGTTCAAGTGGCCATACCCCCACATGACCGGCTCTGTGGTTCAAATCCTAGGTCTGGAGGCTTGAGAGACACACTGAAGATGTGCGTGCGTGGGCCCAGATTCCTAAGAGGAGAATGGAGTAAAGGGGATTGCAGCGTGCCCGTCTCCCCTTGAGGGTGCTTTTTAATGTTCTCTGTCTCTCTGTCTCTGGTGGGCACCACACCCTGTGGCAGATATGAAAACAGTAGTCTCCTGTATTAGACCAGCAGCAGGTCTCTCACGTCCTGTTTACCGTGTCTCTCGATTGCATTATGTTCTCTTGTGCTTGATTTAATCTCGTTTTCTGACGTTCATTTTGTGCCTTATAGTGGGACAAGATATAGAGGAGGAAGACTGATAGTGATGATCTTGATCCTGGGGGTGATTTCTCGCTTTTTGTCTCTCTGTCTCTCTGGTGGGCACACGCGCCCTATAGCAACAAGCAAAAAAAAAAAAAAAAAAGGAAAAAAGAAGAAGAAGAAAAACAAATCGAGGGCAGGGCAGGAGCATGTGTGCCCCAAATTCCAACAGGATGGAAAAAATAGAGGAAAAGAGATTGCCGTGTGACCGTGTGCCACAGGGGAGGGGTACTTTTTCCTCTCTTCCTTTTTCTGTGTATTTATATCTCTCTGGTGAGTGCATGCACCCTCTGGCTTAAAAATAAACAACAAAAAAATTAAAGAAAAAGTGTTTCTCTCTAGCCGTATAACGGCTTTGTGTCTGGGACGTTTTTTTCTTTACTCTACCAGAGGGTATGTGCACTTACCAGAGAGACAGGGAGGAAGAGGGAGAAAGGCCCCATTGCACGATCACGCTTCAATTCCTTCTCCATTTCTCCATGCTATTGGGATTTGGGGCATGCATGCAAATCCTCACACTTGGTGTGGATTTTCAAGTCACCGGGGCCAGGATTTGAACCTCGGTCAACCACGTGGGATCTAGGTCCCTTAGTCACTAGGCTTTGGGCTTGACGCATGTTTGTGTTTTGAACTGTTAGTATAGGGCTAGCTCGTGGCCTTGTAGTTGAGCAGCTGAATTCCACATGGCTAACTGCACAGTTCAAGTCCTGGACCTGGCAGCTTGAAAACGTGCTAGGCATGTGTATGAGTGTCCAAAATCCCCAAATCAGCGAGAAGTGGGAGAGGACTGCAGTATAACCAGGCTCTGTTAGGGAAGTGCTCTCTCCCTTTATCTCCTTCTCTCTTCCTGTCTCTCTTTAGTGAGCACACATGCCCTCTGGCAAAAAAAAAAAAAAAAAGCTTGGGACCAGCAGGTAGGGTAATACTGGACTCTCATGTAGTTGACCATGGTCTGAGTCCCAGACCCGGTGGCTTAAACTCACGCTGGGCTTGTGTGTGCGTGCGTGCCCAAGATCCCAAGAGGAGAATGGAGGAGAAGGGATTGCGGCGTGGCCATCCCCCTTGGGGAGTGATTTCTCACTTTCTGTCTCTCTGTCTCTCTCTGTCTCTGTGGCGAGCACACGCGCCGTATAGCAAAAACCTCTCCAAAAAAAAAAAAAGTTCATTTATTTCTTTCTTCCATGAGCGAAAGAGAGAGAGAGAGACAGCGTCCCGACGGGTCCCTACACCACGATCCATCCCCAGCTTTGGCTAGCCGGGATTATGGGCATGTGCGTGTCAGGCGTGCTTAGGGAGGTTACTAGATGTGAACGCGGAACCGTCCCATGTGGGTCGGCCTTTTAGAGTGCCCTGCTACTGCCGTGCCACCCTCTGGCCCTCGTTAGGTTTTATTAGAGTCCAGAGTTCTGTAAATGCTGGTTTTGGCAGTTAAGCCAGCTTAACTGTTGACATCTGGTTTGTGGAGTTCCCTTCTGCGCTGTTTGTTGATGTCACTCGCGGGGTGAACACCTCCGCACTATCAAAAGAATAAACCACTATAAGTGCTAGGAGCAGTGCCTTTCCTCGTGGCTGGCTCCCAATTTGTTACTGTTTAATTATTTCATTATTATTGACTGATAGTCGTACTGACTTGAATTTCAGCGTGGTTGTGCTTCAGCCCTTGTGGAGTTAGTGTTTGCTTCTTGTAAACCGTCGTTTGCTGTGATCGTGCGACTGTCACCTTTCATTAGCTCTTAGCCTTTCATCACGCTGCAGCATATTCGAGCCGAAGGAGATGTCTCTGTGTGTGGCGAGGGTCGTCCTGGCGGGGGGTGGGCAGCCGAGGTGCTAGAGGAGGCCCGTCGGGTCAGCCCCGGAGTCTTTAAATTGTTCATTCACCCGACAGAAATACGTAGGCCTCTGTCACGCTCCAGTTCTGTGCTGGTACTTGAGAAACCTGCGTGGAGACCAGATGGCCTCACCCCACCCCTTGTGAGCAAACAGCCTGACAGGCCCCACCACGCCAGCAGGGCACGTGGACCGGCATCTCCGGACACAAGCCTTCCT